TTTCTTTTTTAAATCTCAATTCCCTGGTGTGTGTATGATATCCCGCTGGCACCTACCTCTTAACTAGTGATTCTGTTCGCCTTTCAGAATGGAACAAAATGAATGTGAATGTCCTTGTGAGTGCCCCCTGGAGGTCAATGAGTGCACAGGCAACCTCACAAATGCAGAGAACAGGTAAAAAAAAATATGTAGGCTTGTGTGTGTGTGTTATTTATATATGTTCATGTATACATGTGTATACATATGTATAATCTCCATACTATGTGTTTTCAATAAGTTTGTTATGGGTTAAGAGTGTCCAAAAGTGCTTTGTTCTAAAAAGGATCATAATTAGTAAGTCAAATTTTAAATAATGTCTGATTTGCTGTTTAAATATACATGTTGTGAAATACTAAACGTGTATGTGCTGTATACATATACAGGACCGCTGAGGTGGGTCAGTGGGTAAAGTTCACGCAAACATGAGGTCTTGAACACAGTTTCCCACACCCTATAAGATCCAGACAGTAGCATGTGCCTATAGTCCCAGCAATCCAGGGAACAGACAGACAGATCCCAAGGGCTTACTAGCTGAGCAATCTGGCCAAATCATTGAGTTCTAGATTCAGTGAGAGACTCTGCCTCAAAAAATAAGAGAGTAATAGAAAAAGACTCCCAACAGAGTAAAAGTATCATAGCAGATTCGTGCAAGTATTTTCTACACGTCTGCCACGTGTCAAGTACTTTATGCATGTTTAGTCAGCTTTTGTTTTGTTTGTTTTTGTTTTTGTTTTCCCAGAGACAGGGTTTCTCTGTAGCTTTGGAGTCTGTCCTGGAACTAGCTCTTGTAGACCAGGCTGGCCTTGAACTCACAGAGATCTGCCTGCCTCTGCCTCCCAAGTGCTGGGTTTAAAGGCGTGCGCCACCACTGCCTGGCTTGAGTCAGTTTTTTTTTTTTTAATTAACTGTGTAAGTATACAGATGCTGCACATACATATGCTCATGCATGAAACAGTGTTATTTATATGATTGATAAGCTCTTAATAGCTATACTAGATTCCTTTCGTAGAACTGAAAGGAAACACATGGTATTGTGTGTATATGTCTATTAATATAATACACCTTTGTTAAGCATAAAAAGGGTGTCTGAAAGGGGCCTCATTAAGTCCTATTCACAGTGTTACCCCAGAAAAGTAAGGCTGAGAATTGTAAACACAGAAGGATGAGCACATTTTGGCTTTATCCATTCCTGTTATGTTGAGAGCTTATGATTTCAGTGTGTGTGGGTGTGCACATGTATATTATTTCTGTTGTATACGAATATAAACAAATTAAACAACTGTGTAGTCAAATGGATTGCCCCAAGGTTTCGCTGCATGGCAAAGTCAGCCGTCCAAATAATAAAACCTCAGATCTTGCTAACCTTGTCTAAGACTAGGGGTTTGGAATACGGGTGTCATTGCTTCTAACCTCCACGCTTGCTTCCTTTACAGAAACCCAAGCTGTGAGGTGCACCAGGAACCAGTGACGTACACAGCTCTCGACCCCGGCCTGCAGGATGCCCTGCACCAGTGCGTCAACAGCAGGTGCAACCAGAGACTGGAAAGCGGGTAAGAGACCTCCCTGAGATCACGGAGCTCCTGCTGCCCGGCCATTGGGTTCTTGCTTTCATGCCTTTGGGAGAGGGAGGAGTTTTATGCCATAAGCCTTTTGTCTCCCGGATTAAGTGTTCCATTCCCACTGGTTACAGGGATTTGGCATTTGTGCTATAGGCTTAAAAAATAAAAAAGGTTTCTGCTGTGGGGTGGGAAGTGTTTTGTTTGTTTTAATAAGCAAAATGCAGATGTTCCAGGGGAGTAGTATCTCCTGGGATTCCCAACTGGAGCCAGCAGCCAACAGGGTTTCAGAACTTCCCTTCTTAGAGAGCAAATCTGCTCCAGGGCAGTTTTGAGAACTAACCACCCCGTGTCCCCTGCTGTGGGCTGCTCCCCTCTAGAGCATTTGAACTAAGCCTGGAGCTGTGGCTATGGAAGATGGGGGAATGGGAAGCTAGCTGCTGGTTGCCATGTGAGCGGGTGATGTGAGGGCACAGTTGGCCTTACGTTGGTTGAGCGGAGGAAAGGGCTACCCTGGAACTGATTAACGTGGGCTGTTATGCTGCAGTCAAGTGCAAGGCAGCACTGTCACCGAGGTCATTTTTCCAGAACATCACCATGCATACAGCCTAAGAGACCGACAGTGAGCATATCTCTTTAAATAGACTGTTTCCTGAATGTATTTGACTGTTATTTCCTTCCTTTAAAAAAAAAAATTAATAATGATGACAGGGGCATGTTAGACCAAAGCAAACAAACCTAGGCTCTACCTGCCTTTGATGCTTTGAGATGATTTTGAACAAGACCACACTAATCCATGCATGGAGGTTATAAGGTCACTCAGGGAGTACTTGGCCTTCTCTCATTTCCAAGTGGCCAAGAGGCATCCGGTGGCCATTTCCAGGTAAATGACCGCTGTCACCACTTGACAAGGAAAGGGGCTTGGCACGCAGCTGCTCAGAGCAGGAGTAAGCAGGTGAGCCCTGAGGTCCAGCTGGCCTGCTCTCCTGCCCACGCCGCTTTCTGAAACACCGTCCATTCGGCAGGGACTGTTTCGGGGTGCTGGACTGCGAGTGGTGTGTGGTGGACAGCGACGGGAAGACTCACCTGGACAAATCCTACTGTGCGCCTCAGAAAGAATGCTTCGGGGGGATCGTGGGAGCCAAAAGTCCCTACGTGGATGACATGGGGGCCATCGGTATGTTGAGTAGGAGCCCACGCTGGTTTGACTCGTGAATGCAATCTTCTGCCCGTCTACTGGGGCAGAAATCTTAATAATCCTCTGCCCAGCTCCCCTGCTTCGTTTGCCAGTCATCCTTAGTTACAAACCCAGGGCAGATAATTACCTTCAGAGCGGGCTCCATGCGCTGTGCAGTGAGCAACCAACTGTGCTGCCAAATTTTGCAAGCCTGGAATTCATTCCCATAAAGCTTGTTCTGAGAAACTCGGACCTGATTTCCACATGACTGAACTCCGGAGTCTGCCTGAATGTGCATCCCAGCTGTCGGAAGCGTGGGGCCTGCAGCGGGCTGTTCCCTCCCACAGCAGTCCCTTTCCCCTTTCCTTCCCACCTATACAAGGTAGGCGTCTCCCACCACGCTTCACTGATGAGGACAGCCAGCTCATCAGACACCAGAGCCACTCAGGGCTATGATAGCGGCTTAGGGAAGGACAGGGACACCCCAAAGAGAAGAGACCCTGGGATCAGGACACAGGTTCTTGAAAATACTACTACCAAAGAATCTGTATTTCTCATTAAGAATCTCTTTTTTCCCATCTCTTCCCAGAATTGGTACCATGTCTTCACTCACTCTTAGCTGGCAAATTGAGTCACCACATTTAAGCCACTAGTTAGTGTAGATGTTTCTCAACTTGGGATCCAGTTATGGCCCCATAAACCTATCATGGGTTGGGAAAAAAAAAAAGTCAAATTGTGTTTATTGCCTCAGTCTGCTGAATGTTATATAACTTAACAGCACAGTTCAACAACACACAATGCTGGTTATTTAACCTTTGGGAGCCCATGGCTGGCCGGGAACTGCCACAGCCTGTGTCAAGAGAGTATCCTGCATTTCACAAGCCCAAGGAAAGATCAAGAGTCCCAAGTCTGTGTCGCTTCTACTGATTTCTTTATTGCTTTTATAGTGTCACAGAGTTGACAGATGAATCCAATCATCACAAATTAGGGACCATCTACATCTTGGTTTTTAATATCTTCACACCTAACATGACTGAAGAGAGAGGATCCCTTCTGTGGGGCGGAGGGACTGAGCTCTTATGTTACAGCTGAACCAGGCAGGGACATAGTTGCTACTCCAAAGGTTACTTTCTGTGCTTACAAGGAGGCCCCACCCTGCAACCTGGTCTGTGAGACACAGACGCATTGTACTTCCTGTCTCTTATTTGAGCGGGTGGTTCATCTGTCCCCCAAAGAGGCCCACCTTGTCTTCCTCTGCTAGGTGAGGTTTCCCCTTCGGAGAGCAGCCAGGATTCCGTCAGCACCGGGCAGTGCCTGTGCGGAAGCAGTTTTCTCTGCTTTACTCTTTGCTGCAAAGCTCATTATTTGTGCTCCGGCTCTGTGTAGCTGCCAACGTTTGGGAACCGGGAATTCCATAAAGCCTCCACTCCCACGTTCTCGTGTGTCACCGAGAAGCTGGAGTGCAGCAGAGCTAGCCACCCCAACCCATCCCCCTTGGGTCCTTCCTACCTCACCGCCCTCCCCCCATCGCTACCTCCCACCACACTTGGGGGATCTTGACACAGTGCATCTGCTCCTGTATCCTCTGAAGGTGACGAGGTGATCACGCTAACCATGATCAAGAGTGCCCCCGTGGGCCCTGTGGCCGGAGGGATCATGGGCTGCATCATGGTGCTGGTCCTTGCCGTGTATGCTTACCGCCACCAGATCCATCGCCGCAGCCACCAGCACATGTCTCCTCTTGCTGCTCAAGGTGAGTGCAGAGGGCCTCTTCTAAGTGGCCCAGTGGCAGGCTGTGTAGGCCTCTTAAACTGTAAGGGCAGCGTGACATCGGCAGTCCCCAAAGCCTACTGCCTTCTTTAGTGCCTAAACTCTGCACGCCCTATTTTGATGACCCGGAAAGTCCTAGGTCCTCTCCAGACGTTACCAACATCCCCATCCCTCCCCCACTCCGTGGCCTACTTCTACCATAAGCTGAGCTGGGGAGCTGGGGTGCTGACAGAGACTGTGTCAACATGCTGCGCTTGCAGGTCTGAACCCAAGCAAATTAGGGACCCCCCGGATCTGTATGGTCAAGAATATGAATTAGTTCTATTGCATCCCTCCCTGGACAGAGGAAGAATGGTCACATTTGACTAATCCAATCTTTTGAAACATCATTGAAGCCTGCTACAAAAGAGTTCATCTGTAACCATGACTTTGTTGCCCGCGTTTTAAGTCGGCCATCTCTGCTCAAAACCCTCCCCACCCTCCCCAAGTCACCAGAGGTGTGCTAACCTGGCCTTTATGAAAGTCAACTCAACTCACAGTCATTCTGGCCACTTAACTCAGCTTGTGGCACTAGTGACAAATTGGTGTTAGAGGTTGCTATGACAACAACCATGATAGGGCATGGTCACAGGAGCACCGCCCACACCTGTCTTAGGTGAGGGCGGCTGGCGTCATGTTGCCTAGCACCTGACCGTCTGCCGCGTTTTCACACACAGCCAGTGATGGTTTGGACCCCACTTCTGCTTAAGTACTTTGGTAGAGGATTAAAGATGAGTTGGCCTCCATCAGTTTCGTTTCTTTCTTCAGAACTCAATTCTAGATGTTGCTCATTTTTCTTCTCTTCTTGTTCTTCCATCCGCCTCTTACTAGAAAGATGTAACAGACAGGGGCCATTCATTCTCTCGTAAGCTCACTTTTTTTTGTTGTTGTTTTGTTTTTGTTTTTGTTTTTGTTTTTGAGAGAGAGAGAGAGAGAGAGAGAGAGAACGAGAGAGAACGCCTGGGGATAGACCCCAGCACATTTGAGGCGAGCATCCGTCCCCCCCCCCCCTCCCCCCCCCCCCCCCCCCCCCCAACTCACTCTTGATGGAATGCTGTCAGCCAGCCATCAGACCGGTGCTCAGCAGGATATTAAAGCCAGTGATTTTGTTTGATTAAATAGTCATGTCTCTCTCTTTCTAATGATGGACAGAAATGTCAGTGCGTATGTCCAACCTGGAGAATGACAGAGATGAAAGAGACGATGACAGCCACGAAGACAGGGGCATCAGTGAGTACCCGCTGCCTCCTGCAGCCTGTGTCAGCGGGAGGCTAATCCAAAATAAATATTCTTTCTTATGTCCTTTTGGCTTGTATTAAAATTTAAGAAGCTTTGACATGGTGGGTTTTTCCCCCTCCCTTCTTCCTTAGGAATAAGTGTGGCTTCTCTGCTTTGTTTCAGAATACCTCAGAAGCCTTTTTTGATGTGATCTTTTGCATTTTCTCTAGCCTAAAGCCCCTCTTCTCATTACTTCTCCAACATGGTGTTTTAGAAAGGGAAGTTTCTTTGAATACGCTTTTTTTTTCTATAGTCCCTTAATTAGTGTACACAACTCAGGGTAAGGGAAATGTGCTTCCTTTATAAAGAGAGACTTCTGTTGTTGAGCCCCCTTGGCCTTTACTAGCCCTGCTGATGCAGGCTGGAGATGAGTGGCTAGGTGCCCTCCCCCCAGAGAGCTCCAAGCCAGCTCCCCTCATCCTAAAAATTCTTATAAAAATTCTCTATTTTAACTCTTCAAAGAATAACTCCTCCAGCATGTGAGCAAGTGCACTCAGAGCAAAGGGGTTGAAACAATGAAGGTACTGACCCAAGAATGATGCTAACTGTCCTTGGCTTCCCGTAGTCAGCAACACTCGGTTCATCGCCGCGGTCATGGAGCGACATGCACACAGTCCAGAAAGGAGACGACGCTACTGGGGCCGCTCAGGGACCGAAAGTGATCACGGTAAGGCCTGGTCCTCTGTGCTAGAAGCGCCCCCCCCCCCGAGCTTGGGCTAGTCCTGTGGAGGGCTGGAACACACTCTTTCTCTCCCTTTCTCCAGTTCCATACTTAATTATTTTGACATAGTCTCCCTAAAAGATGCACCCAAGCATGACATTGAGGAAGCCGCATAGGCAGTTTTCTTGTGTCCCAATACTTCCAGGCTCAGGCTAGGTGGCCCTGGCCACACAAATTGCTTTCAAGTTTTTCTCCATAAAGCAGGTGGGGGCTGATGAGATGGCTCAGTGGGTAGAGATTCTTCCCGCCAAGCCTGATGACTTAAGTTTCATCTGTGGGACCCATGTGGTGGGAGAGGAAGAAACTGATTCTCACAAGTTACCCTCTGATCTCCACATATCACAGTGCACAAGCACACACATACACACACACACACACACGTGTAATTTTTTTTAAAGTATGTTTTTGACCCTTATGCATAGCTGTGACCAAATACCTCACAAAGCAGCTCCATGGAGGAATTATTCCTTTTGGCTCCTAGTTTAAGAGGGTTGAGTTTGCCAGGCGGCAGTGGCAGCGCACACCTTTAATCCCAGCCCTTGGGAGGCAAAGCAGGCAGATCTCAGAGTTCAAGGCCAGCCTGATCTCTGGAGCAGTTTCCAAGACGGCCAGGGTTACAGGGAGAAACCTTGTCTCAACAACAACAAGAAAAGGTTCAGTTTGGTTGCTGGTTAGAACAGATCACTTGGGCTGCTATCTTGAGAGTAAAGCATCATAGTGGCAGGGACATGCAACAGAAGACAGCTGTGACCATCATGGCCAGGGGCAGGTGAGCTGAAGGGAACATATAAATGACGAACCGGTCACCACTGACCCACTTCCTTCAGCCAAGGCCCAACTCCCAGACTTTCCAGAACTTTCCAAAATAGCGTGGGGAACATTTCAAAATCACACTGTCACTAAAGGGTCATACTTGGGGCATGGAACCTCCATGTGTCTTAGGCCCTAATGTTGGTAGTGGGCCGGTGTCAGCATCGTCAACATATTTTCTTGGATCATAGACAAACTGTCCTCTGTCCTCAGCTTTGTCCTCCCCCTCCTCTGGCCGTGACTGCCAGACTCAAAAGCTTTGATGGAGAAACCTTTGCAACTCAGCCTTGAAAGACGCCTGAGCAAAGAATGAGTGTGTACAAAGTTGTCGGTTGACATTAATTGCAGGGAAAAGTCAAGTGACGTGCCCAGCAAATCCATGTCCTAGGAAGTCCCATGTCCCGTCCCAAAGACCAGCCACACCACAGAGCCTTGACGTTCTTGATGTCTCATTGCTTGTCATAAGGAACAGCAGATAAGTCCCAGTCTGCGATCACCACCCCCCACTTCTACTCCAAAACAGAACCGGAACGAAAGAATGTTTCATTTTTGAAGCTAGCTGTCTAGTTTCCACAAAGCTGAGTCTTTGTATATGCCAAGTAATTATTTAAACTTTTTTTTTTTCCATCTCGGCTTTTCCCACACCTATCCTGGAAGAAAAAAAAAATGCCTTCAAACAATGTTTCTATTTGTATGCAAAAAGCACAGGACATCCCTCCAAGCAACCAGCATCCTTCTGACCCCACCAGAGGGATGCAGTCTCCCTTTGGAAAACGTGAGATGCTGCAGCCCAGCCTGGTAAACCAGGGACTGTGGATTGGGCTTGGAATGACCTTGTTCCCACCGACTAAATAGAAGCTCCTGGTTTCTATGGAGAACCGAAGCAAAACTTAAATTTTTCAGTTTCTTGGCTTCCTGCCTGCTCTACACCTCCCCCCCGCACCCCCAAATAATCCTTTGAACCTGCGTAAGTTCTTCTGCTTGGCAAGTCTGCGCCTTCTCTTGAATACTAACACAGGTTTGAGGCTACTAAAGTTCAGCTGAAATAATTTCTTATTCAGCGGAAACGCTGCATCTCAGCTCTCCCTCTCTTGTGGCATCCATACCAAATTAGGATCTGGACTGACAAAATGTTCCCCAGCCTCTTCCCCTGTCTTACTGAGATGGTGCGGGAAGCAACAGCTTAGATAAAGCGGATAGATGAGCACCTGAAGCCAGGAACGCAGCAAAAGGCTCACTGTCTCTTTTCTCTCACTAATTGGATCCCTATTATCCCCGGGGAATTAAAAAAAAAAAAAAAGTTTCTCATGCAGACTGAATAAACCACTAGAGGAAGTAAAAGGTGTTGAGAGTCCCCATAGCCCAAATACATCATTAAGTCAACGGAGCCTAGCTGTAGGCGGTTGTATTCCTGAACCAATACAGCAGGTCAGTAACAAAAAGTGACCCATCAGTTGAATGACCCTGTTATGCCAGCAGGATAAAATGTACATGCGCATTCAGGAGGAAATAGAATCGATTGGTTTGTCAACATGGTTCTGAGTGATCTTCTCCTGTATCATGCTTGTACTATCGTGTGCTAGGCACTGGAGATGGGGGTGGGGGTAAGCAAGAGGAACCCCCTCAAGACAGCAACACGTTCACTTTACATTCCACCACCTCTTTTGTTTTTACAGCAAGCTACTTAGAGTTTAGTGCGTTATTTCAGTCCTTACAGTAGAATGGCCAGGTGCGGCAGCACACACCTCTAACCCCAGCACTTGGCATGCAGAAGCTGGTGGAGCTCTGTGAAGTATAAGCCAAGCTGATCTACACAGCAAGTTCCAGGCCAGCCAACGCTACATAATGACACTCTGTCTCAAAAATAAATACATAACTAAATACTAGGATCCATTTTTTTCTACCTGGTAAAGCTCTCATGAAGGTTAAATGGGAGAGCGTGTTAGGCGCTCGGGCTCAGGCTGACCCTGTGGGTGTTGTCCTCCCTGGTTATATTCTAGGGGAACCCAGAAATGAAGGCACGTGTTCATGAGACCCAGGTGGGATGAGACAGATCTCTGGAGTGAACAAAGAGGGCAAGGAAAGTAGTTCGTGTTCCAAGGAAGGCCTTGAGCTGGTGAGGCGGTAGTACCAGGGTTCTGTGTTGTGCTGTACAAGTGTGTGTGCAGATGCACACGTGTGTGCGTGTGCATATGAGTGACTAGTAAAAGCCTAGGCCCCTAGGAAGCTGCATAGTGACGTTCCTAGAGATAAAACCTGCTGTTACTCAGCTTGGAAACCCGAGGCTGCTTATTGATTTAAGAATAGCTCACAAGGTCGTATTTTAAAATATACGAAAGTGGTTTTTCTTTGCTGCTGGGAATCAAAACCAGGATCTGATGCATGCTAGGCAAGAACTCTGCCTTGCAAACACCTTAGCCACACTTTTCTCAATAGTCTAAGGCAATTGAAAGTGTTGGGTTGTTTTTTTTTTTCAGCAAAAGGTAAGCCTCACAGGTTGAGAGACTAAACACCTTTGTAGCCACGTGTCTGCTTTGTCTCGTGTTTCTCTAGAAAATAGCATGTTCTGTCTAATATCCACTGGCTTATTTTTAAGTTTAAAAATGCCAGGATATGTTTATTTGCTCCCTGTGAGTTTATATTGCAGTTACTTCCTCATTAGAAACTTTACAGCCACATTTAGACTAATATTTTTGCATATATGTATACGACAAGCAACATTTTGTTTTTGAAAACAGGGTTTCTTCCTCATCCTTGGCAATTTCAAGGAACTTTTTCTAAGACAAATGATGAACGAAGACCTAATCAAAAGCAGACTGTATCCTGGAGACGCTCTCCTACAGTTACTCTTTGTGACCACAAGATGGCGCAGGAGCCCCTGAAGGAGCCTAGCCGGCTCACAAATAGTTCCTCAGGAAGGATAGATTGTAAACACATAAACAGAATAATTTGGGCTTCTGTTCCTCATGGGTGCCTGGCCTCATTCCTAAAACAAGTGTCTTACTTGAGGTTATCTTCATAAATGCTTTTCAACATAACGCTGTTGCAAGTGCTGCCAGAGGTCCTTTGTATTTAAATAGCATTTCTTCCGTGCTCCGTGGCCTGGGATCCTGTCTGTCCTCATGATTCCTCCCAGCTCTCGGTGCCGAGCACAACTGTCTGGCACCAAAGACGTGGTTTGTTTGTTGACTGAGAAAATGTCTGTGGCCCGGGGAGAGGGATTCACAGTTTGCAAAGTCAGGAGCACCTGAGTTTCGGTCCCCTGAATCCCCACGAAGCCAGGCACATTAGGCCCCATCTGTAAGGCCACAGTCCCTGGCATGGGGTAGGAGATGAAGATGGCAGATTCCCCGGGAGCTTGTGGGAGGGCTAGCCTGACATCCACAGCAGCAAACTCTGCCTCTAACAAAGTGGGAGGCAAGGGTGGACACTGGAGATTGTCCTTTGACCTCTACACATGCATACCCACACTCAAACTCCTACCACATACGCCCACAAGAAAGACTTGCAAAGAAAGAAAGAGAAGGCGTTTGTTCCACCTGCTTCTCTACCACTCACTGGCCCCTTGAGATTTCCACTCCTGCGCTAGAAAATAGGAAGTGAAGGGCGATAGCACCTGAGCTGGTTGCTTGCAGAGAGTTAGAGACGTCATTTCAGAGAGTGAAGCTGCGTTTTGGCTCACGGTTTCATGAGTCTCAGTCAGTGTCTGGCTGGCCGTGTTGTTTCTGGGCCATGGCAAGGCAGACCGTGAGGGTTGAGGACACGGTGGTGTGAGATTGTCTCCTCATGGTGCCCAGTGAGGCCCAGCTTTTCCAGCCTCCAGTCACATGCTTCATCTACTAGACCCCACTGCAACCCCTCCCTCTAATGCTGCAAGGTTTGAATCTATCAAGGGATTGCTCCACTAATGAGGTTGAAGCCATCTTGAGGCCCCCTTCCCGAAGCACGACAAACCATCTCCAAGCCCCCAACACAGGAGCCTTTTCGGATCCAGACTCAATGGTATCACAAAGAGGGGAATAATTACAGAGTATCACTAGACACTGGAAACCACTGGGTTGGGAAAATTGGATTTCCAAGTCTTCCTAATTATATGAGGCGTGACATGCAAAGCCACAGGTAACAGAAAACTCAGTGATGCCAGTACTTGGGAGGATTATAGAGTGAATAGTGTTTGGAAGCTCACTTGCTTGTTTTTATAGTTTGGGGGATTGACCCCCAAGGCCTCTTCCATGCTAGGCAGAGTGGTCTCCCCCTGAGGGAACCCTTTTTCAGTTTTTATTTTGAAACAGGATCTAAGCTGCTCGTGTCGGCCTTGACTTTGCTCAATAGTTCAGCCAGCTTGAACCTGCAATCTTCCTGCCTCATTTACGGGCCTGTACCTGCAGACCCGGCTCGTTTCGCTATGAAGAGCCCCCTCTTTGTGAGACATTGTGCTCAACGTTAGGAGTGCAAAGGCAGCAAGGAAGGAAGAACTGGCTAGTCAGACAAGGCGGTGAACCTCTCTTAACCCCGGCAAACAAAGTGGAGCAGGGCGTTCTCAAGTTTGAAACAAACCTGGGCTATTTAGTGAGTTCCAAGCTAGCCTGGGCTATGTAGTAAGACCCTTTCATCCATCCCCCAAACTGCCAGTGGGTCTCTGACCAGAGTGACCATCTGACCAGAGCCAGCCGTTTGTAGGGAACCTGTGCGCCTGTTGTCTCCTCTAGCTTGTGTATTGTGCTCTAGCTTCTGCTCCCCGCTCCCCACTTCTCTGCTCTCAGCTCCCTGCTAACATACATCCAAGCCACATCATGGAGGCATCGCTTTCCAGCACCGTAGCTCTGGGCTGCTCTCCTCTTTGCATAGATCCCCTTTATCAAGCTCTGTTGTTTGGCTTTCCGAGACAGGGTTTCTCTGTGTAGCCTTGGCTGTCCTGGAGCTCACTCCGTAGACCAGGCTGGCCTCCAACTCAGACCCATCTGCTTCTGCCTACAGAGTACTGGGATTAAAAGTGTGTGCCACCACCACCTGGCTACACTTGACCAAACTCGTGTTCACCCGGCTAAGCCCGAGTAGACGCGTGATGACCTCCTCATTCCTTCAGTCCGAATGAGTTAGTCCTCCTTCCGAGCTTCAGCTAAACCTCAGCTGTGGTGCTCACTTCTGTCTACCCTTGATTTTTGTCACTAAGGAAGGGAAGCAAGGCTGTTTGATTTGTCACTTCACCCCACCCCACCCCCATACGATCCACAGTAAAAGCATGATCCAGCAGCCTGAGTTCTTGCTTGTCTCAAACACTGGCTTCTTAGCTCCTCTAGGTTTTCCTACCTCTGGAGCCTAGCAGGGCGGCTTGTGCCTAGGAGGCACCTACTAAATATTTTTTGCTTTGAACCGGCTGTTAAATAATCCTTCTGTTGGGTTGTTTTACTGAGGACATAGCTTGCCGCTCTCGCTTCTGCACGGAGCATACCTTTTTAACCACACGCTGTTTCTGCTTGGCTGAATGCAATCATATCAATTTTTCAGTCCCAAATGTGGCTAGTGCTTACCCATGGGTGAGGGCTGATTGACAGGGAGGAGCAAGGAAACTATTAATGAGCTGTCATTTCTCAAAACGTTTAGAAGACATGGTTTGGTTTTTTTTTTTTTTTGCAATATTTAAAAATACGCCAAGGTTCTTGGAGAGGCATCCTTTGATCAACTAGGGCATTTTCTTTTGAAACGTGTATTCCTTAGGATGCTCAAAGGAATGAATCTTTAAACACCCCGGGCCAGCTTCCACAGAGAAGAGTGAATTCCTTTCTAGTTGCTCTGGGTTAGATGGGAATTGGATGTTTCATTGAGCCCTAGAACCTTAGATGAGTTCCTTGCCTTCTCTGGCTGCCTCCCTTCTACAGTGGGGATTAAGAGCCTGCTAGGCAGGAGTCGCTGACCTCTGTTTTGCTGTCGACGTCTGCGCTGGGGATAATAAGTTGGATCCTCACTGACATCCCATAATAATAACGGGTTAGACCCTCCCTGACGTCCCACAAGCATTTCGCTCTTGCCCTTCAGCTGTCGCCCGCTAGCCCAACCAGTGTACATCTTATTCACACCCCCTGCAGCTGCCCATCACCTGCTTTAGTGGTTTGTATGATGCAGGGGGAAACTGCCCCTGTACTCTTTAGAAGCATAGGAAAATGAACCCCAGGATGCCAAGATGGGTACCTGCACATAATGGGTTTTGTGGGGTGATTTCACCGTGGGGCTGTCACTGGTCAGGGGGTTTGGAGTAGAGCGATGACTCTCATTTGTTTCCGCCCCCCAGCTTTCTCAATTATTTAACATGGTTGTGTATTTGTGATCAATTGTTTTTAGAAAAATACAAACCAGCCCTGGTTTCCTCTCGATCTCCTTCAAATTAAAATACCTTAGCATCCGCTGGTCAACATCTGGTCACGTGTAGATGTTGACACCTAAGTGTCGCTAGCACAGGAGTGCACCCCAGCCTCCTAGACAGCCTGCTCTGTGTCCTGAGGCTATGCTTTTCCTTTCCTAGGTTACAGCACCATGAGCCCGCAGGAAGACAGCGAGAACCCTCCGTGCAACAACGACCCCTTGTCAGCGGGGGTGGACGTAGGCAACCACGACGAGGACTTGGACCTGGACACCCCACCTCAGACTGCAGCCCTCCTGAGTCACAAGTTCTACCACTACCGCTCCCAACACCCGACCCTCCATCACAGCCACCACCTTCAGGCCGCCGTAACAGTGCACACCGTGGATGCCGAGTGCTAACAGGTCCCCTTACCTCCCCAAGTAGAGGGGCACCGGGTGGTGCGGAGTGCTCCGAGAAGAAATGAGCCGGTGTAAAACCCTGCCACACAAGACACACCCTGTGTCTGCTTTGTCCAGGGCGGTTAGACTCAAGTGCGGTTTGCTGCCTTGGGGGCGTGTTTAAACTGAAACCGCGAAGTCCCCTTTGTGAAGAGCTGAGGCTCGTTCTGAAACGGAGGGGGCGGGGTTTGCTGATGAACCGACCCAATGGAGTGTAGGCCAACCTCCAACTGAGACACTTGTAAAGGAAACTGAGTCGGGGAAGGTTCCCAGCACCAGAAGCCCTCGACCCCTGACCTGGAAGAGAGCTGGAGTAGATGGCAGCACACTAGAGCCACCAACTGCTGGCGGACACTCCTGTTTCCCAGCGGTGCCTGGACGCCACCGTTATTGTACTGAACTCACCTTGAGCTCGAAATGATGCATCTCAAAATTTCTAAGTAAAGGATTATTTTTCTACTATTTATTGAACTTTCAAACTTTGGGGGGAAAGGAAGCGAGAGGTTCTCGGCCGTACCCCTGGCTGTTGTGTGTGATGATGTGGTTCTTTGATTAAGGAGTTGTGTTTCTTATTTAACTGGTGATCTTCCCACCACCCTGATCCACAAAAAAAAACAAAAGGAAAAGAAAAGAAAAGAAAGAAAGGAAGGAAGGAAGGAAAATGAAGCAATCTTTCTTTGGCTTGTTTACATCACTTTGCTGAAAAATGTCATCTGTGATAGTAGTCCCTTTCTGGAGGGGCAATGATCCAAGATGGTCTCAAAGAAATGTCATTCCTTTAGAATTATTTCCACCTCCCATATAAGGTTTTCCTTAGGTTTCTACGAAATCTAGTATTACAGCCCTAGCCTTTCAGTTTAGGGAGGCTTGGGTTTATTCGCTTTGTTTAAAGACTATAAATTTTAAAATGTCTCCTTTTTTACTCTGAGAATATTAAACAGATAACGGAAGACATTTTGAAATTGTGAACTTGTGGTTCTTAAAAGATTTCCTTTGAAATCGTAGCTCAAAGCCTCGGCCTCTGAGTCCACCCAACTGCTTTTGACTTCTCCAGGGATTCAGCACATGGATTCTTTGGCGTGGGGCATTGTGATTTGAAAGTAGCGTTCTAATTACAGTGGTGTATTTTAGATTCACACTTTGTGATTCCAATATGTTATGAGGACATTCTTTGCACCGTGTGTGTGTGTGTGGTAAATCTCCGTTTATACGTAGTTGGAAAAATTCACCGAACAATGTTTTAATGCTAGGGTCTCATGATATACTGTAAAGAATAAAAGAAAATAAAAAATTGGGTCCTCAGCACTACAGGAAGGAAACTCTATATGTGCTACCCAGAAACCCCTTTATTCTGTGTATAAAACTGCAGTCTAGTGAAATAAACTGTATGCAATGAACGGATGAGTGGCTCCTGTTACTTGATGGGCTGTCTCTCACCACGTGACCTAGACATCCTTGCCGTGGCTCCTGTTACTTGATGGGCTGTCTCTCACCACGTGACCTAGACATCCTTGCCGTGGCTCCTGTTACTTGATAGGCTGTCTCTTACCACGTGACCTAGACATCCTTGCCGTGGCTCCTGTTGCTTGATGGGCTGTCTCTCACCACGTGACCTAGACATCCTTGCCGTGCTTCGAGCAACTTCAGGCCTCCTGACCATCTCAAACCCACAAAGGAAAGCGAGGGTGTTAGTAGGCTAAATAAAATAAAAGAACAAACAGTTAAAAATAAGTAAGACTGCCATGCCTGGTGTTGTAGGGTTTTCAAGCTAAATTCCGCAGAAGGGTTAATAGTTTTAGGGCAGCCTGGGCTACATAGTGAGACTGTGTCTCAAAAAGTCAATGAGTAAGTAAAAGTGTATATATCTTCCCCCTTGCTACACAGTCAGGTCCATTCCTTAGTGTAAGATGGTCAACTCTGTCTTGTTGAGATTGCATGGGTTTCTTGTCTTCCCTGAAAAGACCCCTTCTCCATGGGAGTCTAATTTTCCTGCGATAGTGAGACTCTCTGTTAAGACACCGGCTTCTCCGAGCTGGAGAGATGGCTCAGTGGTTAAAAGGACCTGCTCCTCCTCCACAGGACCCAGATTCGTTTCCTACCGTACATGTTAGGTGGCTCACACCACTTTTAAGTCCAGCTCAAGAGGTTCTAACATCCCAGTGCCTGCACACTCATAACCTATAGTCAACAGACACACCAAACATAATCAAAATTCAAAATCAATCTTTTTTTTTTTAAAAAAAAAAATAAGCTTCTCAACTGAGGACGGAAAAGGTCCGGAATTGAAAGGTGGTGTCTCCAAGGAAGATGCTGTCGTAAGATTGTCATTTGGTGGGGATGGGGGTCATTGAGGGGAGCTTCACAGCTTCCCCATAAGGTCTCAAAGTTCCAATCCACTGAATTTCGCCAGCTATTATGTTAGGGTTACTTACAGTTCATGGGTAACAGGTCACAGGCAACATGGGAAGGTCTCCACCCAGCATGATGTCCTCCTGGTGGCTGTGTAGATAGATGGAGGCTTCTTCCTGAATTCAGTCTTCCCCAACCTATATACTCTAACCGCTCCCAAGACCCCCAGACCACATCCAGTTAGACAGAATTGCATGCAGTCACTGAGGGAGTGGACGGACACTCAGTATTTTCCTGAGGGAAGGGCAAGCTCAGCTGTGATGCTCTTTCGCAAGCAGACCTGGGCGAATTCCTGAGGATGCTATGTGCCCAGCTCAGAGGATAGAGCTATACAATGGGTGCACAAAGCTAAGAACTGAAACCAATTGGTACAGTCCACTCAAACACAACAACAAGTCAGACATCATGGTGGCACACACTTGAACTTCCAGCCCTGGGGAAAGACAGGAGGATTGTAAATTCTAGGTCAGTGTATGCCATGTAAGACTATTTAAAAAAAAAAAGACATTAATGGAAATTATTTTGTATCTTTTGCAATAAGATTGCCCTGAAGTCAGGGCTGAAGTAATTGAATGTTTATAACCCAACCAAGAGACCATCACAGGGGTTAGCTTTGAGTTTTCCGTTGGTTGGTTTTTGCTACTGTGATTTGTTGTTTGTTTGCTTGCTGGTTTAGATTTATTTTTATTTTATATGTGTGAGTGTTTTAACTGCATATATGCCAAGGACCCGCGGAGGTCAGAAGAGGGCGTCAGATCCCCTGGGCCTGGAGTGGTGCGAGGTTGTGAGCAGCGTTCGGGTGCTGGGAATCAAACCCAGGTCTTCAGCAAGAGTTGATCCCTGCACCATCTCTCCAGCCCCTGTGACTGAGTTTTACAGGCCTCATACAGACTGATCACCAAGCATTATGGGAGACATTGCTCATCCATGTGGTGGCGGTGAGTGATGTTCACATTGTTTAGAAAGAAAAACGTGGTGTTGGAAACATTATCATGGCCAATGTCAGTTCCTGAGGCTCCTCAGACACCACTGTGGCTCTCACAGAAGGTGTAGAAACCCCAAGCGTTCTTACCAGTGCATTCACCAGGACTCCTGGGCCTGTACCCAGCCCTTTCCAGTGAGCAGCATCAGTAGCTCAGAATATTCCAGGTCGCTTGATGCAGAAGGAAACTTCCAGGCCGAGACTGACATCCAACAGGGCCCAGACTCAGTGGTCCTCTGAGAATATGCCCATCTGTCTGCCAGATAATCTTGAATGAATAATTTTTGATAAGTTTTAGAAATGGTTGAGCCTGGCCATTTGCCTTCCACTGCTTCATTTGACTTGAATGATCAGCTGAACCTCACTAATATATTTACTAGATAACCGTCCAATTCCCCTCATACCAACTTATATTGCCCCACAGTGACCGTGACACCTGGCAAGCCTGGAGGACTGGCTTCCTCCCATAGCAATGACTACTCCAGTGGTTTTTTGAAAATGTACATCTGGGGGAATCATCATATTCTTAACCATGTCGTCCAAGTCACTCTGTGTCTTTTTGCTCTGAACAAAGGTATGCGGATTTTCCAGACTGGGGTAGAATGCTTTAAAAGATTGTTTTCTAAGTTCCATCTAAAAGAGCGTTTAGTTGGAAGCTGTTTCTGTTTATGATGGTCTGTTTAGTAACTAAAGCATAGGAGTGACCATGAGTTTATGTGCACATGGATTGAGATCTTGCAGCCTTTTCGGGTTTTCTTGTTTCTTTCCAACCAGTTCAGAATTGCTCATTGGGGTCTCATGCTTCTCTGATCCTTTAATTCAATGTTTCTCAGGTTTTATTCATGAGTGCTCCCTCCCACAAAGGAGACTTAATTTTGCTTCAATTCTCCTTAAGGAATGAGAGGAGATGTGCTTTGTTGGCTAGAGTCACGCTTTGGGGGTAACAGAAACCACTGTAACATCTGATCTCCATTTGATCCCTGCGGAAGCCTTTGTGGGCAGTGTCTTCCCCACTGAGGATGTGAACCCTAAATAAAGGCCTCCACCACCGTGACCCCAGCGCCTTTGTCAGTAATGCTACCCAACCTCCTCTGAGCTGCCCGGGCCTCCTCTCCTAGCTAGCCTGACAGAGCCCTGAATGGGAAGCAGGGAGGCCTGAAAGTTAATCCCAGCGTCCCTGATCCCAGGCTTTAATCTGAGTGCAGAGTCTCTGATTAAAGCACGCCGCTCTCACATCCTTTCTCTCCTTTGTAAGACCGGGTCACCAGGCTCGGTGTACCACCGCCGGGTCCGTGGCTTCGAAAACTGCTTCCTTAATTCTCTTCCAGTAATTCAGGCAATATTCAGGGCCTCCTATTTACACATCAGAAGCAAGCACACAGCGATGAACCACAAGCATGACCCTTTCCTCCATAGCTGCCCAGTGCCTACCCCATCCCCTCTCCAGTGTGATTCCGTTATTATTATTCTAGGACTTCAAGCTTGGCTTTAGATTTTTTTATCCAGCCTGTAAAATGGTAAGCAACCCCCCTCCCACCCCCAATTTATTTAATCAGAAGCCTAGAGTCACCCAACCAGAATGAAGCATTTCTTCCTAATGACGGCCTAGAAAGGTGTGCTGTGATTGCGTCCAGTCTCACAGGATTAGTCTTGGGGATGTCTGTCTCAGAGCAATGTGAAGCTAAAGGTGGTGT